TGTCAAAGGCTCCCCTGATTGGCTGGCTGAGTGTTACACGCCCCCTGATTGGCTTTCCGAGTGTTACACGCTTCCTGATTGGCTAGCTGAGTGTTACACGTCTCCCTGATTGGTAGCTGAGTGTTACACGCCTCCAGATTGGCTAACAGAGTGTTACACGCCTCCTGATTGGCTGGCTGAGTGTTACACGCCCCTGATTTGCTGGCTGAGTTTTACATGCCTCCTGATTGGCTAGCTGAGTGTTTCACGCCCCTGATTAGCTGGCTGACTGTGACACGCCTCCTGATTGGCTGGCTGAGTGTTACACGCCTCCAGATTGGCTAGCAGAGTGTTACACGCCTCCTGATTGGCTGGCTGAATGTCAAAGGCCTCCTGATTGGCTGCCTGAGTGTTACACACGTAGTGATTCGCTGGCTGAGTTTCACAGGCTTCCTGATTGGCTGCCTGAGTGTAACACGCCTCAGTATTGGCTGGCTGAGTGTTACAGGCCTCCTGATTGGCCGGCTGAGTGTTAAACGTCTCCTGATTGGCTGGCTGAATGTCAAAGACCTCCTGATTGGCTGCCTGAGTTTTACACGGCTCCTGATTGGCTGGCTGAGTTTGACACGCCTCCTTATTGGCTGGCTGAGTGTTACAGGCCTCCTGATTGGCTGGCTGAGTGTTTCACGCTCCCTGATTGGCTGTCTAAGTGTTACACGCCTCCTGATTGGCTGGCTGAGTGTGACATGTCTCCTTATTGGCTGGCTGATTGTTACATGCCTCCTGATTGGCTGCCTGAGTGTTACACGGCTCCTGTTTGGCTGGCTGAGTGTGACACGCCTCCTTATTGGCTGGCTGAGTGTTACAGGCCTCCTGATTGGCTGGCTGAGTGTTACATGCCTCCTGATAGTCTGGCTGAGTGTTACACACCCCCTGATTGGCTGTCTGAGTGTTACACGCCTTCTGATTGGCTGGATGAGTGTGACACGCCTCCTTATATGCTGGCTGAGTGTTACAGGCCTCCTGATTGGCTGGCTGAGTGTTACACGCCCCGTGATTTGCTGGCTGAGTTTTACATGCCTCCTGATTGGCTAGCTGAGTGTTACACGCCCCCTGATTAGCTGGCTGACTGTGACACGCCTCCTGATTGGCTGGCTGAGTGTTACACGCCTCCTAATTGGCTGGCTGAATGTCAAAGGCATCATGATTGGCTGCCTGAGTGTGACATGCCTCCTGATTGGCTGGCTGAGTGTGACACGCCTCCTGATTGGCTGGCTGAGTGTTACACGGCTCCTGATTGGCTGACTGAATGTCAAAGGCCTACTGATTGGCTGCCTGAGTGTTACACACGTCCTGATTGGCTGGCTGTGTGTTACACGCCTCCTGATTGGCTGCGCAAGTGTTACACGCCTCCTGATTGGCTGGCTGAGTGTTACATGCCTCCTGATTGGCTGGCTGAGTGTTACACGCCTCCTGATTGGCTGGCTGAGTGTTACACGGCTCCTGATTGGCTGACTGAATGTCAAAGGCCTACTGATTGGCTGCCTGAGTGTTACACACGTCCTGATTGGCTGGCTGTGTGTTACACGCCTCCTGATTGGCTGCGCAAGTGTTACACGCCTCCTGATTGGCTGGCTGAGTGTTACATGCCTCCTGATTGGCTGGCTGAGTGTTACACGCCTCCTGATTGGCTGGCTGAGTGTTAAACTGCTCCTGATTGGCTGGCTGAATGTCAAAGGGCTCCTGATTGGCTGTCTGAGTGTTACACGCCTCCTGATTGGCTGGCTGTGTGTTACACGCCTCCTGATTTGCTGCGCAAGTGTTACACGCCTCCTGATTGGCTGCCTGAGTGTGACATGCCTCCTTATCGGCTAGAAGAGTGTTACACGCCTCCTGATTTGCTAGCTGAGTGTTACACGCCCCCTGATTGGCTGTCTGAGTGTTAAACTGCTCCTGATTGGCTGGCTGAATGTCAAAGGGCTCCTGATTGGCTGGCTGAGTGTTAAACTGCTCCTGATTGGCTGGCTGAATGTCAAAGGGCTCCTGATTGGCTGTCTGAGTGTTACACGCCTCCTGATTGGCTGGCTGTGTGTTACACGCCTCCTGATTGGCTGCGCAAGTGTTACACGCCTCCTGATTGGCTGCCTGAGTGTGACATGCCTCCTTATCGGCTAGAAGAGTGTTACACGCCTCCTGATTTGCTAGCTGAGTGTTACACGCCCCCTGATTGGCTGTCTGAGTGTTACACACCTACTGATTGGCTGGCTGAGTGTTACACGCCTCCTGATTGGCTGGCTGGAGTGATACACGCCTCCTGATTGGCTGGCTGAGTGTTAAACGGCTCCTGATTGGCTGGCTGAATGTCAAAGGCCTCCTGATTGGCTGGCTGTGTATTACACCCGTCCTAATTTGCTGCCTGAGTGTGACACGCCTCCTTATTGGCTGCCTGAGTGTTACATGTCCCCTGATTGGCTGTCTGAGTGTGCCACGTCTCCTTATTGGCTGACTGAGTGTTACATGCCTCCTGAATGGCTGGCTGAGTGTGTACGTCTCCTGATTTGCTGGCTGAATGTCAAAGACCTCCTGATTGGCTGGCTGAGTGTGACACGCCTCCTTATTGGCAAGCTGAGTGTTACACGCCCCCTGATTGGCTGGCTAAGTGTTACATGCCCCCTGATTGGCTGTCTGAGTGTTACACGCCTCCTGATAGGCTGGCTGAGCGTTACACGCCTCCTGATTGGCGGAGTGTTACACACGTTCTGATTGGCTGGCTGAGAGTCAAAGGCTTACTGATTGGCTACCTGAGTGTTACACCCCTCCTAATTGGCTGCCTGAGTGTGAAACGGCTCCTTATTGGCTGCCTGAGTGTTACACGCCTCCTAATTGGCTGGCTGAGTGTTACACGCCTCCTGATTGGCTGGCTGAGTGTTACACAACTCCTGATTGGCTACCTGAGTGTGAAACGCCTCCTGATTTGCTGCCTGAGTGTTACATGCCTCCTAATTGGCTGCCTGAGTGTGAAACGCCTCCTGATTGGCTGGTTGAGTGTTACATATCCCCTGATTGGCTGTCTGAGTGTGCCACGTCTCCTTATTGGCTGACTGAGTGTTATATGCCTCCTGATTGGCTTGTTGAGTGTGTACGTCTCCTGATTGGCTGGCTGAATGTCAAAGACCTCCTGATTGGCTGGCTGAGTGTGACACGCCTCCTTATTGGCTGGCTGAGTGTTACATGCCTCCTAATTGGCTGCCTGAGTGTGAAACGCCTCCTGATTGGCTGGTTGAGTGTTACATGCCCCCTGATCGGCTGTCTGAGTGTGCCACGTCTCCTTATTGGCTGACTGAGTGTTACATGCCTCCTGATTGGCTGGCTGAGTGTGTACGTCTCCTGATTGGCTGGCTGAATGTCAAAGACCTCCTGATTGGCTGGCTGAGTGTGACACGCCTCTTTATTGGCAAGCTGAGTGTTACACACCTCCTGATTGGCTGGCTGAGTGTTACACGCCTCCTGATTGGCTGGCTGAGTGTTACACGACTCCTGATTGGCTACCTGAGTGTTACAGGCCTCCTGATTGGCTGGCTGAGTGTTACACGCCTCCTGATTGGCTGGCTGAGTGTTACACACGTCCTGATTGGCTGGCTAAGAGTCAAAGGCTTACTGATTGGCTACCTGAGTGTTACACCCCTCCTAATTGGCTGCCTGAGTGTGAAACGGCTCCTTATTGGCTGGCTGAGTGTTAAACGGCTCCTGATTGGCTGCCTGAATGTCAAAGGCCTCCTGATTGGCTGGCTGAGTGTTAAACGCGTCCTGATTGGCTGGCTGTGTGTTACACGCCTCCTGATTGGCTGCGCAAGTGTTACACACCTCCTGATTGGCTGGCTGAGTGTGACACGCCTCCTTATTGGCTGGCTGTGTGTTACACGCCTCCTGATTGGCTGCGCAAGTTTTACACACCTCCTGATTGGCTGGCTGAGTGTGACACGCCTCCTGATTGGGTGCCTGAGTGTTACACGCCTCCTAATTGGCTGGCTGAGTGTTACACGCCTCTTGATTGGCTGGCTGAGTGTTACACGACTCCTGATTGGCTACCTGAGTGTTACAGGCCTCCTGATTGGCTGGCCGAGTGTTACACGCCTCCTGATTGGCTGGCTGAGTGTTACACACGTTCTGATTGGCTGGCTAAGAGTCAAAGGCTTACTGATTGGCTACCTGAGTGT